ATAAGAAAATGCATTTCAGGCTCCAATGCAGGGTTCTGGGAACCCATTTCCTAGCCCCCACATTAATCATGGCAGCATGAATTACCTATTTTGATCCATCATCCATTTATTCCTACAAATATTCATTGAACATTTATTTTGTACCAGTCACTGCTCTAGGTACTAGAAATACAGCAATTAACAAAATCCACTCCCTAGATATTCTAAAATGAGGACACAGATCAGCATGATGGAGAAAGGACCACCCACTGTTTCTTCCCAAATGACTGGTATGCTCCAAAGGTAAGTTTCCGCTTATACCTTGAATGCAGAAATGTGGACTCCCAAAATGTCAGTTTTCTAACTTAGACAATGTTTTTGTTCCAGTCTTCATTTTGCATCCCTTTTGTTTTCACAATTGGCTGTTGATCCTCAAATGGACTAGAAAGAAATCATCAAGATATGAGATAGTCCCCTTCCTTCCAGGTGGCAGAGAAGATCCCGGGAGGCACCTTGAGTCTAGTGAAGTCTGACGAGCTTGGGAGCTTCAGGTTCCTTGGGAATCGTGAAAGGGCCTGGGGGGCAGGGAGTGATGTCAGTGCTCCTCAGGCCAGGGGCCCCACCAGACCAGTGGAATCCCAGCCAATCCTGCTGGTAAGAGAGAAGGTACATCCTTCTGCCTCCCGGCCGCTCTGGGAGAACCTTCCGGGTCAGTTCACCTGGACTCTGTTTGCCTCTCTAACATTTGCTTACTTCCTCATCTAACTGAGCAACTTGCTCCAAGACTAACTGCTGACTAGAGTTTACATTGTTCCTAGCTCAAAAGTGTTTCTAAGTCTAAAAAAACCCTGATAATTCTCAAATGCTTATTGCTGCTTATAAAGTGATCCTATAGGTTTATTTCTGCCAGCCGTGTTTAATGTCTTTTGGGGATTGATTTAAAAACAAAGTCCTTTTCCTCACACAGGGAACAACAAACTCCAAAAATAATAAATCTTCAAGACATTTTATAGCCCCTCTTTTTCCTTTTTAATAGGCATATTTGTATGCATTAAAACTTGCATTAAGATTTGTTTTGGTGGGGAGGGTGTATTTGCCAAATGTCCACAATAATAGCCAGCGATGTACCAGTGACATCATCAGATCACGAGCTTCCTTAGGCTAGGGAGTGTGCTTAGTCCTGTTGAAGACTCTGTGATGTTAAACAAAAACCAGCAATAAAATAAAATCTCCCATTCGTGCAGATATTGCTCAAACACTGGCCCAGGTTTCACTATCAGTGTCACATTCTTTTTATTGACCAAATACCAGAAAAAACAAAGCTATCTTCTAAAGACACCAACAAAATGTTTCTGGAATATGTCTGTTGAAGATTATGGGAGGGAAATTCTAGTTATATCTGGCGAAAATAAATTCCATCTACAAGTGTGTGGAAGATTAAAAAAAAAAAATTTCTTCTCCGTAAGTTTCACTCCCACAGAGAGTGACTTCTCAAAGGTCACTACAGTCCAGAGGCTCAGTGTTGGTAAACAGCAGCCTTTGTCCTCCCTGGAGCCGGGGCAGCTGTGTTCCAGACCCCAGTGCCAGAAACTTGAGCCCCGCATCAGCCTGTCACATCAGAGCCGGTCGGTCATCCTCACGGCTGTGGGCCCTGGTGCCCAACATCAGGACTGCGGGTGAGGGAGCTGGGCCTCCTCGCCTGCCTTTTCACCTTCCCATGGGGATGGAATGTGAAGGTGGGGACAGAAGAGAGGAGACATCAACAAGTGTTTGCCTGTCTCCGTCAGGAATGTGAACACGGAGGACAGAAGCCCAGGGTCAGTCAGGAGAGGGCAGCTCAAGGGCCTTCATCCCAGGAGCCCTCCTGCAGACACTTCTGGATTGGCGGGCTTACAGTCAGTGTGACTGCAGGCTCTGCCCCTTCCTAGCTGTGTGACAGCGCATGAGGTCAGTGGGGAATTCTAGCGTTTGTGTGAAGTGATGTGCGCTAGACCCTCAAAGCAAGCTTGTTCTTCAGTTCGAGAAAGAATGACATCATCGCCCCATTCCTTGCAAACAGAATGCAAGTCATGGGGGAGCCTTGCTGAGTTTCCCCACGTTCCCAGCGCATTTCCTGCAAGTCAGCTTAGCAACCCCAAGCAAATACAAAGTTAGGCAATACTTTTCTTAAGTACTACGTATGTAAAGAACACCGTGCTCTGGGTACACAGCCTCTAAGGGTGGGAAAAGAATGCAATAAAATACCCAGGGCTGGAGGTCAGCATGGAGGCAGCTGAGCATGGGCCTGGGTGTCAGAAAAATCCTGGGCATATCCCCTCCACTTAATACTGCATGATCTCAGGCATGCCAGTCAACGCCTCTGGGCCTGTGTGCTCACCTGGTCAATGCAGGGGGTGGGCTAAATCATCTCAGGGATCCCTTCCAGCCTGTGCTTCCAGTGCAGGAGGAGAAAGGAGACATGCGAAGATATGAGATAAACAACAGTGACCTCTCACTGCATCCTAAATCCCGAGAAGACTAGATTAGAGAAAAGGGGTCATCCACTGGGTAGGAAGTATAAGTGCCCACTTTTCCAAGTTAGTTGATCTAAATGTTTTCAGTCATTGAACTAACTGCTTTCCTTAGCTGATCGAGAACATTTGTTCGCTGGGGCAGAGACCTGAGCTGCTGATGAGGGCTGGACACGGGAACTGGGAAGTCTCAGGAGCCTTAATAACAAACGGGCCACACATCAGTTTATTGTGACGAAGATTAAAAGACGGCAAGCCTGAGTGAGGCTGAGAGAGAAAGGAGGCTTTATCTCCCAGGGGGGAGCAAATAATCTCACGGAAACAGGGCCTTATTATTTTTATTCACCTGGGAATAAAAGCCAACCCTTCCATCACTTTAGGAGACAAACCAGTGTCAACATAGCCAACCAGCCTGGAGGGAAAACAACACAGCCTGTGAGCTGGGGAAACAGGCTGAATGGAGGGCATGCCTCTCCCAGGCCTGCTGCCCAGTGGTCCACCCTGAAGTAACCAGCCCAGACTGGCTGCGGCCGCTTTCTTCCACAAGCCAGCTGGGGGCAAGTGTGCAGCCTATGGGGCTTTTCCATAGAGGTCGGTGTTCAGCTTCCTTTGATTCTGAGATTCTGGGAATCCCCAAGGTTCTGTCCACCCAACTCTCCCTGGACACCCCACTCCAGTTTCCACCTCTGTTGGCAAGGCTTTGCAAGAGGTCTTTCCTTTTCAAAAAAACAAACAAACTGGAAAGACCCTGAAATGAATCACAAATATAGAGACACAGCGCTCTCTTGGGATCCCTGTTATAGGAAACAGCTGGGAACGGGACGCCTTCTCCTCCCACACTGGGGTCAGCTGGCCAGGAGTGCGGTTCTCGGAAGCATCCTAGGTGACTGCCTCGTAGACACTCCAAGGTGAGAAAGCCCATTGTCACCTGGAACAAACACCTCCAAGCACCGAGGCTGTGATTGGGAATAAACAGTGGCCTTTCAATCGTACACACCCTAAGAAAACATGCAGAGATGGATTCCACACTCGCAGGAAGTTCTCACGCCTCAGTGGCTTTCACACCCTGTGCTCTGTACCTGGAACACCTTCTTTCACTGGCTAATTTGCACTTGTCTTTCAAGACTCACTGGAGATCAGATGGCCTCTCCCTGAGCTCCTGGCCTGCCTCCCATGGCACACACACCATGTCCTTGTGACCATTGTGTGCCAGGTTTGCATTCAGAACAGCCTGTGAGTGGGGCCCAAGTGCGTGGCTCAGTGTGTGGCAAGGAAAGAGTTCAAGGTTTCAGACAAATGATTGATCACCAAATGATGACCCTCAAAGGGCTTTTACTCCAGCAGTCCCCTGAGAGACTTCATTTCATTTTCCTTTCATTTTATTGGGTCTTGTCAATAACATCCTCCTTCCAATTAATTTATGGGTGAGGAAAGAAAAATTGGCTGTGGCTCCCAAGTACACAGCAGCCTGGAACTTGTATGGAAACATCAACATTTCCCAAGCAACAGCATTCCCCAACTTAAGAGGCAACTGATCTTGGAGAAAGGACACATTGTTATCTCCATTTAATTGGTTAGCGACTGAGGCAGAGACATTCCATGGTCAAGAGTCACAACTGTGCAGAATTGCTATGGGAAGGCCAGTTTTTCATTCATTGATTTAGCACTTATTTGTCAAGGCTGTCCATTGTGCCAGGCACTTTGCTTGGCAAGCGAGGTGTTGAGTAAAACAGATGTGGGCTCTGACTTTATGAAGTGGGGGTGGAAGGACTGACAATAAACAATTAACAAGCAAGCACATAATTGGAGGCTGTAATGAATGCTATAAAGGAAAAGTACAGGAAACCAGGAGAGATTATAAGTGTGGAGGGACCTGATCGGCTGGCATTCATTAAGAACTTACTGTGTAATTGGGATTCTGCTATGCTTATTTGACCACAGCCCTTGAGAACCAAGTCAGGGTGGACTCAAGATTCACCCATAAGGAGGCCTGTGGCTTTTCTGTAGCCCTCATTGCTTCATCTGCCAAAAGCAGACAACGTCCTTATTTGCTTCATATCTGAACAGGAAAATCAATATTCAAGCACTTTGTTTTTTATTTTTTTATGTAGATATGTTAATTTATTGTTTACATATTAGGCAGTTTAAAAAAGAATAAAAATCCTGCTCTCTAGAACATGAGAAGACAATGGAAGGTACTGTTATACAAATGGAAAACATGAACATAGTCCCCTTTGCCCCCCCCCTTTGCCCACCCTTGCCTCCCTTTGCCCCATGTTTCAGGGGACATTATTTAACAGTTAAACTTGTTTTGTAATATAAAAACTTAACTAGTAGTTATTTTAGAAATACCATTGAAAATAGAATGACATTTATTAATTATATTAAAAGAACATAGATGTGAATATTATAAAGGAGTTTACTGCCATGAATATTTAGGTAACATGGCCAACTCCTGAACTAATACATATGAACCCACAACAAACACCCCAGGAATAATAAAATCCTTAGTTCTTATCATAGCTTCATTTGTCTTCTGTTGTTTCAGTCTCCAAATACATCCGGCACAGTGCTGCATTAGGGCGGCATATAAAAGCATCAGTTTCATCCCCCAACTCTGTTAACTGTTCCAATGAAGATACACAAGGATAATGGTCTTTTAACATATCAGGCAATTCAGAAGTCTTGTTTTGAAGTCGCTGAGAACGTCTAACCGGTGTTAGAAATTTGAGCTTTTTAGATGTAGAGTTTATTTCGTCAAACTGCATCTTCTTTTTTACACTTTGAAAGTATGGTGTAGTAGACACAATATATTTAATTAAGCAATCCTCCCTAGTTTCTTTGTTGGGGGTTTTAACATCATTGGTTGGATCTTTTGTTTTGTGTACCCGCTCTTTTTTACAATCTTGAAATACCACATTTCTATGATGTTTATTTTTCATTTCAGGTTTTCCTGACTCTAGATTAACACCAATATCTTCAATGTTGACTTCTTGGATTTCTTCCTTGGTTGCACAAGCCTCCTCAGGATTTTCTCCAAATTTAACTTTTTCTTGACTCTTCATTGTTAGAATATCTGCAATTGCATGTCGCATTTCTTCAATAGACTGAGCTCCTGCCAGAATGGCCTTCTCAAAGATTGAGATAATATTTTCAATAGAACTTGTGAGTGGTTCCACACGTGCAAGGCATATTCAATACTTAACAAGTTTTTTAGCATCTGGAATACTTTTACTCAGGTCATTCAGTGTGTTTAATTCTTCTTCTTTGGGGCATCCCTCATTAATCAGGTTTAGGCATTCAGAAAATGTCTTGTTTACTTTTTCAGTAAATAATCTTTATTCATCTTCCACCATGGTAGTCCAAAATGACCCAACTGGTTTTTCATTCTGTCCTTCGGGTTCAGGTTGGGTTATTACTGAGTTAGGAGGCCTTTTCAACATTTTTCCTTTGCTAGCTCTCCACTCACTCAGAAGAGCTTTTCTTTCTTCTACGGTTTCTTTGGGCTGAGCTCTTTTATTGTTGACAGTTGCTTTTGCTATAATATGCCTGCACTGGTCAATGGTTTTTGACTTTTCTATCTGTTTGATATTAGAAGATGAAGCAGGCCTGGCTATCATTTCAGATGTGATGCTTCTTGATACCGTCTTATTTCTTTTTACTTCCTGAGAAGAAATGGTTTTGACACTAGATAAAACTGTATTTAATTGTAGCAATTCTTTCTCATGAGACCCTTTCCGAACTGTAACATTGGCAATGCCTTGTTTCAGGGAGTCCTGGGTATTATGAGTAACACTGTGGTGACTTGTAATAGGAGGACATAAAACATGTTTCTTCTGCGATGTAGCCCTCACAAATTTAGTCGTTGTCATCATATTTGAGGCTCTGTGACTTTTTGCTATTACACTGCTGGTGTTTATAGGCTGAGGTTTTGTGGCCTTAGAGACAGGAGCTGAAAGTTTCTTTGTTCTTGCAGAATGCTCATCTTTGGCTCGTACAGGGTTTCTAAATGAATGAGCCTTAGATTGAACAATTCGGCCACGATTAGATCCAAGCACAGGTTTCTTGAGCATGTTAGCATCTTGCTTTGGTTTTTCTGTAGTCACTTGTATCTTTTTACTATTGTTTTTAATGTGAAATGCTTGGCTTAATGTCATACGTTGACCTTGGTGATCATTTGTAATTGGTAACAACTGCAGAGTTTGATTATTATTCTCCAAGTTATATGTATCAGTGGCTATAGTTGAATTGATTAATTCATTAGAAGGTCTTAACGGAACACAATCTTTTCCCATTGTTACATTATTTTTGCTCCTTGTAGGTCTATGGACATTTTCTTTATCAGCCATTTTTGTCTTAAGTTTCAGAACTTTTGTCTCTTCTTGGACCAGACCCTCAGATGTCATCATTCCCTTGTTTCTACTGCTCTGAAGGCGAACTGGGTCCTCTGACTCGGGGGAAGCTGCAGGTCGCCTGGAACCACTGGGGAGCTCATCGCAGGGCAAAGCAGGAGGACGTGTCAAGCACTTTGTCTTTTAAAAATACCAGGTAAAATTCGTACTGAATGCGAACTTTTATGGAAATGAGCAGTTATGTCAAATTTATTCTCAACAAACAGAACTCATTTCCTCATTCATCCCAGCTCTATATTTTTATAATTTTTCTCCCATTTTTAAAGGTGAAACCACGTGGACTAAGATACATGCTTTCTTTTGGAATGCAGCACAGGAAGGTCACCTTTCCTCGCCTCCCCTGCCTCCCCTGAGGTCTGAGAGACAGAGCTTCCGGGTGAGAGCAGCTGAGGGAGCCACTGGCCTCGTGTTTATTGTGTGCTTCTTCTCCTCACAGGTTACCGCATTGGGAGACAGCATGAGAAACGGGAATGAGATAGAAGCCAGGGGTTCTCTGGAGGGAGATGCAGAAGAGGGCCCCTGCTCCAGCCCCTTCTCCACCTTTCGCCCTGCCCGAGGGCAGCTCCAGGCCCCCACCTGCAACATTGCTCTGATGCACTCAACTTCAGGTGAGTCAGGAAAGGAGGGAAAATTGCCCTGTCATCATGCCCATGGGACAAAAATGTGGCTGGGAATGAGATCTTGATGACAGGACGGAGCAGGCTGATCTCTGTGGTCAGTCTCCTAGGAGACTCAGTGCCCCGAGGGGCAGGGCTATCTGGTGCAGGGGTGCAGTTCCAGGGTAGTGAGCTGCAGGACACCAGCGGGCTGTCCTAGGGCTGCTGTGTGACAGTAAAGTGGAGCTTGCTCAAGCCCTGCCTCTCTGCACAGGTCTGACCTTTCTCCTTCCTGCCTGGGGCAGCTGGAACTCAACATCAGCCCCCGGTCCAGGTGCAAAAGGCTGCAGGGGCTTCCTAGGGAGAAGCTGCACAGGCAAGGAGAGCATGACGGAGAGCGGGGAGAGCTTGGGCCTTCTGGCTCACAAGGCCCTTCCATACCTGAAGCCACATTTGATCTGTATCACCTTCAGGCAGGTAAGTCACCTGAGGCTCAGAGGGTTGGCTGATGCTGCATGGCTAGGTGGTGAAACTCAGCCAGTTGGGCATGTTTGCTGTTAACTGCTGCCTCCCCGTGGCAGGGCCTCTTACTAAAAAGAAGGGAGGAAATGATTTCCAGAGAGAGCACCTTCCTTAGCCATATGCCTGCCCTCTCTGTCTCCCCTCCAAACAGGAGAAACTAGTTCATCCAAGCCCCAAATCGTGACAAGTCCACCTCTCATCATATTTGTGATTTTAAAGGAGAAATACTTTAACATAAAGGCAGTTTCCATATTAGAACAACAGGTAAGAGACCAACGACTTCTCCACCAAACAGCCGCTCCTCCCATAGGCCAGGCCACATCTCCTGAATGTGTCTCTGATGCTCAGGCCAGTGCCTGGCACACGGCAGCTTTTCCATAAGGTGTTTGTCAATGGATGAATGAATGAGTGGATGGATGCATGGGCCAACCCCAAACCTCCCAGTGAAGGAACCATTCATTCATTTATTCAGATTATATTCACTAAGAACCAAGCCTGCACCAGACAATAAGCCGGGCACTTATTGCCGTGGACTAGATGGACCCTGTGCCTTGGCCTTTCAGAGCTTACAGTCTAACAAGGAAGGTGGTCATTACACAAAAAGTCACTGATTATTTAGTGAAGGTTGAGGCTGTGTGTGCGCTATTAAGGCCAATGGCCACAGCAATAGGTTCTGACCATTTAGGTGTCCAGCTATTAATCTCTAATCTAATTTTGCAATTTGGCCATTTTACTTACAAAAGTCTAATTTTTAAATCCAATTTGGTGTGGTTTTAAAGATTACCTAAACTCAACCTATATGTTATAATTTTTTTAAAGTCAAAGGAATTATATTTAAGGTCCACAAAGGAAAGCCAAGGCACACATATTAAAGTTCTAGGGAATCAGGCTTAAGTTCCACCAAACTAAAGAGTTTCCACCAACTCTCCAAAGATCATGATTTTAAAGTTCAAAATTGCTTCTATAGTGATATTATAATTATATAAAAATTACATGCATAAAAACAAATTATAAAAATACTAGTAGCCCAGTGCATGAAATTCATGCATATTAAAAGAGAATTAATTAGTGGAAATATTTTAATATTGCTATTTGCCCTTTCTCTATAATAGAAGTGTCAGAGATGAAAGGAAATTAGTAAAATGTATATGAAAATAATATATAAATTTATTAATAAATAAACAGT